ATACGAAACTGTGAAATGTGATCATATTTGGGAAGACCAAATATGAAGCGAATGCATAAATTTTGAAGACGCTCAAGTTTGTTTAATGCTCCTCAGTGAGATCCAAGTAACAGGAGTCAGCGTAATCAAGGATAGGAAGGAGCAAGGAGTGAGCAAGTGCAATTTTGGTGTCAAGGGGAAGAAAATTACGCAATCTGTTCAAGGCACCTGTTGCTGCTAACATTTTCCTACTAACCTCGGAAATTTGATGAGACCAAGACAAAGTATTATCAAGGATAATTCCAAGATTTACTGTATTCTATTAGAACCCCATCGAGAACCACAGGCGGAAGGTCATTCCAAGTGATTTTAGAAATATACCTCGGGCTACCAATAAGAATAACTTGTGTCTTCTTGGGGTTCACTACGAGACCGTAAGATTTGCTCCAAACAGATATGCGAGCAAGATCTTCGTTAATATTAGTAATGGCTTGACTAATATCACCCAGGGTTGCTTGAGAGTAAATTTGGAGATCATCTGCATAAAGGTGGTAGGAAGATTGAAGTTTGGAAGTGATTGAGCTAATAAATACGGCGAATAAAAGAGGAGATAAGACACCACCCTGAGGGACGCCAGCAGACGTGTCACACCATGCAGACAGAACGTCATCGATGCGAATACGCTGCCGACGCCCCAACAGGTAACTACGAAACCAGTCAATTGCCATTGGAGATATGTTGAGAGAGGATAATAGACCTAATAGAACATCGAAATCTACAGTATTAAAAGCATTACTGAAGTCAAGTAAAGTGAGAGCAGTAAGTTTAGAGTTCTCCATACCGAAACGAATGTCGTCAGTGATTTTCACGAGAGCGGTAGTCGTACTATGACCAGGGCGGAAACCGGATTGTAAAGAATTCAGAAGATTATTTTTGGACAGAAACGAATTAAGCTTTTGTTGAACTAATCGTTCTAGAGCTTTGGATAGGAAAGGGAGTATAGAAATAGGACGGTAGTCTGCGAATGAGCTAGGAATTTTCTTTTTAGGAAGAGGAACAATAAACGCATCTTTCCAAACTGAAGGAAACGTACCTGACGAAAGAGACGTATTAAAGATTAAGGTAATGGTGGGTAAAAGGATATCAAGGATAGGCAAGATCATATTACGACTAACGCTATCGGTACCTACGGCATTCGAAGAAATTAAGAGCAAGCTCTTCTCAACATCACAATCGGTCAATTGATCGAAGATAAAAGGAGTATAATTAGAGTTGGAAATTTTGGAAAGGTTACGTAAAGTAATAATAATAATAATAATAATAAACTCTTTATTGTGCACATAGAAGAAATACAATAAGAAAAAGAAAAACAATAAATAGAAAATTATGAACAAAAGGCGGTCTTATCGCTATAAGCAATTTCTTACAGACAACCTGCAAGATAGGACTAACATACACAGAAGAGGTAGATGGCACACACACACAAGACACTAGAATTATCAAACTAATTAATAGACATACATATATATATATATAAATAAATATACATACATATATTCAATATATTGGAAGATTTCAGAGTTAAATAGGGAAAAAAAAAAAAAAATTTGCTATAGGGACAGATAATGAGACCTTAGACGATTTTTAAATATTGTATGAGATTGAGCGGATCGAATGGAGAGTGGTAGAGAGTTCCAAAGGCGAATGGCTTGGACAGTGAAAGAGTTGGAATAATATGTAGAGGAGTGAGCAGGGATCGTCAGACAAAGGCTTCTGGTGCTACGCAAAGCAGAACCGGGGGATTTAGAGTGAAATAAAAAATTTGTTTTTAGATATTCTGGAGTAGAGGGTTGGAAAAGAATGGTGTAAAGAAGGCATAGTATGTGAAAATTCCTGCGAAGACGAATGGGAAGCCACTTGAGTTGATTGCGAAAATTGGAAATGTGGTCATACTTACGGAGACCAAATATGAATCGTATGGACATATTTTGGAGTCGCTCAAGTTTATTTAATTGTTCTTCAGTGAGATTTACATAGCAGGAATCCGCATAATCTAGGATTGGAAGTAACAAGGAATTTGCTAGCGCAATTTTGGTATCCACTGGTAGGAAGTTCCGCAACCTATTAATGCTTCCGACGGCTGCAAACATTTTCCGACTTAACTGTGTAATTTGTGGTGACCAAGACAAATTTTCATCAAAAAGAATTCCAAGATTTTTGACCTGAACGGAATATTTAATGTCATGGCCATCAAAGGTAACTGGTGGTAGATGATTGAAGTCTAATCTAGAAGTAAAATACGAACTTCCAATAATTATACACTGTGTTTTTTTTAGGATTTAATATAAGGCCATAAGCTTTGCTCCAGTCAGATATATAGGCGAGATCCAGATTTATATCGTGAATAGCATCGCTAATATTAGGCAGATCAGCTTGTGAATAAATTTGAAGGTCATCTGCATAGAGGTGGTAGGATGAACGAAGATGAAGTGTGATAGAATTGATAAATAAAGTGAAGAGAAGAGGAGATAATACGCCACCCTGAGGTACGCCCGCAGTCGTTGTACACCAGGATGAACTAATATCATCAATACGAATACACTGCCGGCGCCCATACAGGTAAGTACGAAACCATTCAATCACCGTTGGAGATATGTTAAGAGTACGTAGCAAACTGAGTAAGATGTCAAAGTCTACGGTATTGAACGCATTACTGAAATCCAATAATGTTAGCACTGTCAGCTGCGATTTGTCCATACCAAGTCGAATGTCATCGGTAATCTTGATCAGAGCTGTAGTCGTGCTATGACCAGGGCGGAAACCAGATTGAAGAGGATTTAGAAGATTATTTGTAGAAAGGAAATTGTATATTTGATTATGGACAAGCCGTTCTAAAACTTTGGAGAGGAATGGAAGAATGGAAATGGGTCGATAGTCTGAAAAATTCAGCGGGTTTTTGGTTTTGGAGAGAGGAATTATAAGCGCGTCTTTCCAAGAGGTCGGGAAGATGGCAGATGATATAGAAAAATTTAAGATAAAAGTAATGGTTGGAAGAATGATATCAAGGATAGGAATTATCATATCACGACTGACGTTATCATTACCGATGGCATTCGACGATACAGCAAGTATGTTTCTCTTAACATCACAATCGGAAAATTGAGTAAAAGAAAAGGAAGAAATATCAGGAGTTGACAAAGTGGAAAGAACATTTAGCGTGCTTAATTTATCATTGTTGTCAAAGGCAACGGAAGAACAGAAGTGCCTGTTAAGGCTTTCGAAGTCTAAATCGCAGTTTGTCAAATTTTGAGCTTTCCCAACTCCCAATGTTCTGAGAAATTTCCAGACTTTGGCTGGATCACCATTCTCTACTGATTTGTGAATGTGGCGACGTTGAGCATGCCTACAAGCCCTATTGCAGAGATTCCTTGCTTGAATGTAATATTCACGATATTTCTCAGGATTGGATCTGAACTTCGCTTTGGCCTTATTTTTTTTAACCTGCAGAGCCCTGATCTCATCTGTCAACCACGGAGCAGGGAGATGTTTAACCCGTACTGGACGAACAGGAGCATGTCGGTCGTAGAGTTCCAATAAAAGCGAGTTAAATAAACTAATTTGGTCATCCACTGATGTTGCATTGTGAATAGCCACCCAGTCCGCAGCAGACGCATCGTTACGCAATCTTACCTGATCAATGCCACCAAAACTACGCCGCATTAAGACTTTATGTTTAGGTTTAGGAGGACGGATTTTGTAAGAAAGAAAAATGAGATTGTGGTAGGAGAACGCATCTGCAGGACACTGACCATGCCTAGCAACATGATTAAGGGAGGAGACAAACAGAAGATCTAATAGGGAAGGATTACAGTTTGGAAAGAAGTGAGTCGGCTGTAGAGGTAGAATATTCAGATTACAGGAATCAGCAAGAGATCTAAGGCGGTTAGCACGGTAGTCAGTTTTGAGTAAACATGTGTTGAAATCGCCCATAATAATAGTATGATGAAAGGAGGGGATAAGATTTTCGAGGGTGTTTTCAAGGAAAGAGAAATAATCAATGGAAGATGAGGGACTATAAAAAACACCTAAAAGAGTTTTAGAGTGCAAGAAATCAACATTAATAAAAAGAAATTCTGGTTCTAGAGAAGGGTTGGATATATCAGAGGAGAGGATAATTTTATAAGAAATATAGTCACGAAGATATATGGCAACTCCACCACCACCCCCCTTGACACGATCATTACGAATCAGGTTAAAACCGGGCAAGGAATAGGAGACAGATGGAAGACAAGGTTTTAACCATGATTCTGAAATTAAGATAGCATGTAAATTTTCGACATTAAAAGATGTTAGAAAATCAGGAAAATGGGCCGGAATGCTTTGAGCATTAATATGCACCACATTAAAATTTTTTACAGTATTCTCAAAGTTAATATTTAAAGTCTCATTAAGGGGAATAAAATCATTATACGTAGAATTATAACTAGATGTCGCACTCGAAAATGAAGAGTAATGTTCTTCCAACATATATTTACATACTAATTATTAAAAATAATAAACAAATAACTAAATAAATATAACTTTTAAAAAATTTAAATTAATTAACAATTTTTAAAAAATATTATCTACCTGCACATAAAGATCTCTAATTAATATTTTTACATATTAAATTTTTCAACCTTTAATATGCATAAACAAAACAAAAAAACAATGAACGTGCAACGGAACGTCTCTAAGTGATTATTTTACGTACTGACAACACTAATGAACACAGACAACGACATTTAAACTTGACATGATAAACAATGACACTACACTTGACATTTAGTTGACAGTTTTGATTAGACATAAGGATTTTAATATTTTACTTATTGACATGTTTACATATAAAAGAAAAACAAAATTAATTCGTAGGTAGCGTAATAATTATGAGTTTCTGAGGTAAAACTAAATTGAAAAAGTATATACTACAGTGAATAAGTAATAAAGAAATACTCGACATACAATAATAACAAACAATTCTACTTTCTATGGCGTTTTGATCGAATCGTAGTAACGGCAGGGTCTTTGGCAATGACTGGGGTCGATGCAGACTGGACTGTTGAGGCCGGCAATGAGCTAATTAGCTTGCTCAGCTCACCAGAACAACTTATGCGATGCCTTGTACCATCCCCATCAGCGACGACGATGAAACCGTCATGCGACCAACAGTTTTTGATGCCAAAGTGTTGTCGAGCTGCCATGAATACACTGTGTCTGGCCGCAGTCAGAAATTCTGACATGGTGATCCCGCTGCCCTTAAGTTTAGTTTTGGCATACCATACCTCATTCCTGATGTCTAAGTCACGGAACTTCACAACTATCGGGCGAGGCTTGTCTTTCAATGTACGACCAAGACGGTGACACCGAGAGATATGTCCTGTGGTGAAGTCTCCAATGTCCAGCCTGTCTATGACGACCTTCGCTACCACCTGGGCTACAGATTCCCGTTGTGACTCTGGCACTCCATGCAGCAACAACATTTTGCGTCTACTACGCATCTCCATCTGTTCTTGTTGGCGGGCAATTATTTCCACTTGCTTCTGAAGACTAGTGAGTGCAGTTGTTATAAAGCTCCGGAAAGTGACAAAGTCAGATTCAAGCGAAGGCACTGTAGCTGGTGTGTTGTTTGCCTTCAGCTGGTTTTGGAACTCAGCCATAGTCTTATTAAAGTGCTCCATCATACCCGCCATTGTAGTGTGCAGTGTGTCCATTTGAAATGATTTGAAGTGAAGAATGAAAGGAAAATTATCACAGCAGGTAGATAATAGATTAGATTTACAAATTCATGTAAATAAAATTAAAACTTTTTCTTTTAAATAATTAATAAATAAATTTAAAACAAAGAGGTGTAATTTTACGTCTGTTGTGTTTCACAGCTACCCACAAAAAAAAAAAAAAAAAAAACTTTTCTTTTTACCAACCCCTAGTGACGTAAGAAATTTCCAGACTTTGGCTGGATCACCATTTTCGACAGATTTTTGAATGTGGTGTCGTTGAGCCTCTCTACACACCCTATTGCAGAGATTCCTGGCCCTAATATAAGCATCCCGATATTTGTATGGATCCGACTTAAACTTAGACTTAGCGTTGTTTTTTTTAGTTATGAAGGTCTTGATCTCATCCGTAAGCTAGGGAGCAGGCAAATGCTTAACCCTGACAGGGCGAATAGGAGCATGTCTGTCGTAAAGGTTTAAAACCAGTTTATTGAAATGTTCAACTTGATCATTGATATTAGATAGAGTACCTATACCAGACCAGTCACATTCCGACGCGTCCCTACACAAGCAATCTATGTCAATGGTACCAAAATTGCGCTGCATAAGGATCTTACGTTTAAATTTAGGAGGGCGAATTTTATAGGAAAGGAAAATGAGATTGCGGAAAGAGAAAGCATCTGCAGGAAGTTGACCAAATTTAGCAACGTGATCAGGTGATGAGACTAGGATTAAGTCAAGCAAGGAAGGAATGCAGCTAGGAAAGAAGTGGGTGGCTTGGAGGGGTAGGATATTTAGGTTACAAGCATTGACTAGACATTTAAAGCGATTCGCACGGGAGTCATTTTTTAAAAGGCAAGTGTTGAAATCACCCATAATGATAGTATGCTTATAGGTAGGTATAAGGTCTTCGAGGAGTTTTTCAAAAGAGAGGAAATAATCAACGGTAGGTGGGCTATAAAAAACACCTAGAAGGATTTTAGAATGAGAAAGCGTTAGTTCGATAAAAAGATGTTCAGATTCATTACAAGGATTTGTGCAGAGAGAGGAATTAATTAAAATAAAGGGAATATCGGAACGAAGGTATATGGCTACACCACCACCACCCCTACCAGTGCGATCACAACGTATTAAGTGGAAACCAGGTAATGTGTAGGAGATAGAAGGAAGACATGGCTTCAGCCATGACTCGGAAACGAAGATAGCATGGAGATTATTTATATTAAATGTAGCAAGCATTTCGGTAAAGTGTGCAGGAATACTTTGTGCATTTATGTGAACTGCATTAAAGTTCCTGGGGAGGTCAGTAAAAGTAGTATTTAAGAATTCATCTAACGGAATAGGTGTGCTGTGAAAACTATCTTCACTAGATGAATACGATACGGAATAAAAAGAATTATCAGAGTCACTATCCATAAATATGTGTTAAATATATATTGTTAGGTGTAACTTCCTGTGGTGGCGCCACCGTCGTGCGGCGCGTCTATAAAAGGCTGCGAAACCCGGTGTGCGGCCTCTTTTGGTCGACAGACGTGCTCTCGAACGAATCTCCGTATCATACCGTGTTTGCTTTATAAGTTCTTTTACTGATTTTGTTAAAATTAATTATACGATTTGTTATAAGTTTCTTTTATTTAATTAAATTTAGAGGATACTCCTAACATCAGAGGTGGGATTCGAGGCCATTTTTGGTCGCGAATAACATTTTTGACTAAGGATTGATTACATGTCGAGTAGAAAACGCCCATCGTTACGAGAGCACGCGTCTCCGTTCTCCACCTATCAAATATAGGTGAACTGGCAGCGTTAATGGACGCAAGTCTCAACAATTGGTGTCGCTGGAACAACGTGCGGTAGCTCAGCGAAACAGGGGTTCGCATATAGCTGCCGACGTAGATGCTGACGACGTGCCTGCGCCGGCACCGGCCCCGCCGCGCTGTCGCCGCCCGCGCAGACAGTCGGCGCGCCAGCCAGACCCGCCAACACGGCGCCAACGAGCGCACCTGGTGCGGTGGCGCGATCGGTTGCTACCTCAACAGACATTACGAAACGTCTTGCCGACGCTTAAATGTCATGAATCTGGTGAGATCTTTCCATTTTTATATTTCATACTTTTAAGTATGCGCAACATTGACGAATAGTTGCGATGAAGTAGATCGTGGTCATTCAGTGAACCGACAGACGGTGTCAGTTTTGTTGTTAAAAGGTGAAGCAAGTGCGTAGTAACGTGAGTGAGCTAGTGATGATCATACTTGGTCATATATGATAGCAAACTACGTAGTATAGAAGTAGATTCTCAAATACGGTGCTATAGTTGCAATATAGTCGGGTAGTATAGAAGTAAATTTAGTTCTTTTGAAAGATAACCTACGGACAAAATCGCATATGCGTTTTGTAAGAATATAGGTCATACTGAATACGCTTACTTTACAAAGAAATAATCTGAATTAGGCTAACGCAAGTTTTCGCCGTGACTTGGACTAGTGATAATGCACATCGCGACGAAATTATCGCGCCGTAATATGCGGGTACCCACAGACGTTTAGTACGATAGTAGTTCAACTTCTTTTAAATCAAATGATCGTTTTCGGTTGTAAGGTGCACATATTATGCTGTTTAGACGAAACGGATATGCGGTTTGATTACTTTCTTACTTTATCTGCAAAATTCATAACATCTCACAAGAAGTAACTTCTTAGTACCTTGTGATTATCTTAAAGACGTCGGTACTCATTGGTAATGATATTTTTAATATTGAAAAGACATTGCGTATACGAAAGAACGATTTTTAGCGTATTTTTAGAAACCGCTCTTTTGAAAATAATATAGCGCGTAGTGAATCGATAGCGCGACTTCAATTGATAAATACACCGTTCCGTGGTGATGAAAAAGAAAATTTGTAGTCTTAATGAATAAACATTCTGAATACTTTTTAGTGGCTCAGTCACAGCTATGGTCAATACCGTATAGAGATACACATTCGACTACTTGTTAACGAAGTAGCGTTATGTAGGTACGACGGTTAATTACCGAATCGACCATATAAATTATTTTACGGTTATAAATTAAGCATACGTGTGAAAATCCAGGTTTACAATTAATTTCCGCTAAGTGTAATTACCTCGCTCCTGAGGTTGTGTATCCTAGGAGACTGGAACTATTTGTAAGAGTCAGGTCAGGCCGAACGTATCCAAAAAGAAAATGATGGATTCTTCGTTCAAACAAATTTCAATTTGAGCACTTCATTCATTCATCAAGTAATACTTATTTTTGAATCTTCCGCGTGAACTATCTTATCGTATAAGGAACGAGCGAGGAAGACTAAGTCTGTTGCTTTTTTTGAACACTTGTGGTAACTGTACATTTTAGGTTCAAATGTGTGGGTACAAACTGCGAATTAGTACTAAATCATTAAAATCTAAATATTAAATACGCAATCAATTGGTTGATTAAGTAAATAAGATTAAAGCGGTGTTAGAGTAGGAAAGTCCCTACAAGCAGTCCTCGTTCATGTGTATGACGGACAGAGAAAATAAATGCCGCGTAGTAGTTTTGGATACCAAAAACTGTCGAAGCTGCTTGTTGCGGAATACGATGTTGTCGGTTGAGACGATGTATAATAAAAATGAACTGATCAAATGCAAACAATAACATTTAAGGAGAGCTGACATGGTTTGTGCAATATTTAGTTGATATTATTTAGTGATACTGGTCAGCTATCTTTTTCGGTATATCCCGTGATACACCCAAATCGCCTCTTGAAATTTTAACGGAGAAAAGAATAGAAACTAGAGAGATGAGATCATCTCTATATTGGCTAGTCAATCCGCGTTGCTTATCTTTGACTATTTACGGACTGAAGTCCATACGGATGCAAGTGCACTAGGTTACGGTACTAATTCAAATAGGAAAAGACGGACGCATACACGCAGTAGCTTTACAATATGTGCAGATCCAAGGTACTACTCCTGAGCTCGAGATACTTGCTGTTGTCAAGGCGTTGCAACATCGTCATCTCATCGGAAAACATTTTAGGGTAGTAACTAACTGCAACGCCCTGAAAATTATACGAGGATCTCTTGCCTAGGGTAGTGCGCTGGTGAATGTGCCTACAGGATCGTGATTTGACGTTTGAATATCGTAAAGGTTAGTTCATATCTCACGCATCGAAATCCTTTTAATAACCTCACGAATCGTAGTAGCATATGCTGCTGATGATGAAACTACTTGTACAAGGGCAGTTGAATAGTTTGCGATATATAAAGAAAATAAATCTTAAAGAAAATAATTATTAACATATCTCTATAGGAAAAGGTCGCGATTGTTATATTTCTAAAGACTACGTGTTGACCATATTGACGTGGAAACGTTGTCGAGTTCAAATTAGTTGACGGTTTCAAAGTAGGGTCCATCTTGTAAAGAAATACTATAGGGCACGGAATTGTTTGTTTAATGTGTAAACATGTTACCTTATACCTTATATCACGTTCCTCTCCACCCAATGTCCAGGTCCACTATACTTTCAATACCTTATGATGCAGTACATAAAATGTAACAAATACAAATATATTCTCGTACACATAAATGCTTTCTCTATTGTTCTAACCTATACAGAGTCAAAATAGTGTAGAGTCAAAAAGGAATCTGAGTTTTTCTAATGGCATTTGTATTTTTGAGATAAATTTTATCGTAAAGTATTTAGGTAACACCTCGTGTAAGGCTTTGTGCAGCATCGAGCGTGTTATAGGATACACCTCGTGTAAGGCTTTGTGCAGCGTCGAGTGTGTAATAGGTAAGCACCTCATATAAGGCTTTGTGCAGCATCGAGGGTGCTATAGGATACACCTCGTAAAAGGCTTTGTGCAGCATCGAGTGTGTTATAAGATACACCTCGTGTAAGGCTTTGTGCAGCATCGAATGTGTTAAAATAAACCTCGTGTAAGGCTTTGTGTACCATCGAGCGCGTTGTATGATTCACCTAGTGTAAGGCTTTGTGCAGCATCCAGCTTGTTATAGGATACATCTCGTGTAAGGCTCTGTATAGCGTAGTGTGT